TGGAAATTGGCGGAGGGATCTCGATTCGGGCTCTGGGTCCTCGCCTGAGGGATTGGCGCACTCGGCTGCGAGTTGCCGATGGTGGGATACGGTGGATTAATTTGGGGAATTGGATTGGATTCAGAGTCGTTGCACAGGGAAGGACCTGCTACTGCTAGTAGGACGATCGGAGGGCATGCTCAGCGTACCTGCGGTTTAATAATTTGTTAGTAGGAGAAAAAAATCAGAGAGCTCCGAAAGCGAGAGAGGGTTTTCTCAGCTTACACTTTAGAGGGTAGTCAGCTACTTCAATGGTGGTTCTGCTACAACACTTCCTTCGCGTGAGCTTCCATGCCATGCATGGATCGTCGGCTTCTTATATTACAGAAAAAAGAAGCATATAAGCGCGAGATGAGAGAAGGAGATCAGCTAGAAATTAAAAGAGTAGCAGATCTTCGTGGAATGGAAGGGTGCTTGGCTATGGCATATATATATATCGTACTAGGTTCGTGCCCGTGCATTGCTACGGGGCAGCTAAACTTTTATACTAAAAATACATGGATCGCAAGATAAGATAACAATACCGTGAGATTAAATATCGACGTTAAAGTGACATTTAATTCAAAAGGGAAAGTTCGTGAAATTACCACAGTCACAAAGAGCACAGTGTCTAGACCTTTCCGTGATGTGGCTAAGATAATATTTTTATATCGGTAGAAAGAAATCTCCGATACCATTTCTTTCGTGCGCCAATAAATCTACTTATAAGTTTCGTCGTATCTCCATGCCATCTTATACGTATATTCGAGTATATATATATGCCTGTCACATGGATAATACTGCATGACTTGAAAATCTCTCAAAAAACTTAAAACAAAGTATGTTATACTCATCGTATAAATAAGTGTGGCTTTAGGACTATTCTACGCAGACATATACTGTAGAATCCTGCTGTACATTGCTACGAGAACAAAATATTATGGGACCACCTCAGTACGGACCGAGCATTCACAACAAAATATTATCCGACAACGTCAGTACTAACCGAGCATTCACAATGGAGGTTGAAGGATATGCATGCCAATGCTTTGTCATGTCAGGATTCAATGACGGTGAAGTAGAAGGGTGTGAAGTTTAGGCTGGTATATATAACAAAGATGATGCATGGGCTGGTCATGGGCCGAATTAAGTCGCGAACGTTTGTCAAAGGGTGACGAATCTCGATATTGCTACAGGTTATCCAACTCTCACTGCCGGAAACGTCAAATTTGCCGAGTGTTTTTATGTTTACCGAGTGTTTTTCCTCGGGCACTCGGCGAACAAGGTCTTTGCCGAGTGCTGCGCTAAAAACCCTCGGCAAAAAAAAAAACACTCGGCAAATATAAGGTTCGCCGAGTGTCAAAAAAACACTCGGCAAAGAGGGGGTTTGCCGAGTGTTTTATTTTTTGCACTCGACAAAGAACAAAAATCATTTTTCTGGGAAAGAAGGTGAAGAAAAAAAATTAAAAAAAAAACTTTGCCGAGTGCCCAGATTTTGGACACTCGGCAAAGGACTAAAAATCATTTTTCTGGAAAAGAAGAAGAAGAAAAAAAATAAAAAAAAACTTTGCCGAGTGCCCAGATCTAGGACACTCAGCAATGGACAAAAAATTATTTTTCTACGAAAGAAGGAGAAGAAAAAAAATAAAAAAAATTTGTTGCCGAGTGCCCAGATCTAAGACACTCGGCGAAGGGAAAAAAATCATAGTTAATTCCCGCGGGCGCCCCTCCCCTCCCCACATTCTTCTTCCCGCGGCCGCCCCTCCCCTCCCCATTGTTCCCCCGCGGGCGCCCCCTCCCTCCCTCCCCTCCTCCATTTCCGGTGCCGGCGTGCCCCTCCCCTTCTCCGGCGCACCCCCCCCTTCCCTCCTCCTCCTCCCCCCCTCCTCCTCGAGATCCACCCACGGGCGTGGCCCTCCCTCCCTCCCCTCCTCCTCCTCCTCGAGATCCACTTGCACGGCCTCTCCTCCCCTCCCTCTCTCCAGGCGCCCCTTCCCTCCCTCCCCTCCTCTCTCTCCTGCCTCCTCCTCAGATCCGCCCACCGGCGCGCCCCTCCCCTCCCTTCGGGGGGCCCTTCACGGTCGCCTCCTCCCCTCCCTCTCTCTCCTCCTCCCTCCCCAGATCCGTCCCGGCGGATTCGGCCCCTTCCCTCTCCCGGCGCGGCGGCGCCCTGCCCTCTCCCTCTCCCAGCGCAGCAGCGCCCTCCCCCCTTCCTCTCTCGGCATGGCGGCGCTCCACCTTCCTCTCCCTGCGCGGCGGCGCTCCTCCACCGCCTCCACCAGATCCGGCCCCGGCCCCGGCGCGGGCGGATCCGGCAACGGTGGCGCACGGGGAGGCCGGATCCGGCCCCAGCGCGGCGGACGAATCTAGCACGCGGCCCTCCTCTCCAGGCACGGCGGTGTCCTCCCCCCTCCCTCTCTCGGCACGGCGGATCCAGCGGGCGCCCCTCCCCTCCCCCTTCTTCTTCCCCGGCGGCTTTGGTGGTGGCGGCGGCGGGGCGTGGTGGTGGTGGCGGCGGCGGGACTTTTTTCTCTTTTTTCGAAAAATGTTTGCCGAGTGTTTTTTTTGGACTCGGCATAGTCTTTGCCGAGTGCCCGACATTTGACACTCGGCAAATAGCTCTTTGCCGATAAAAAATTGTCGAATGTCGTTTGCCGTCGGCAAACGCTTTGCCGAGTGTTACACTCGACAAACGCTTTGCCGAGTGTGTTTGGGGCTTTGCCGAGTGCCCGTGGCACTCGGCAAATCTCGTGTATCCCGTAGTGTCTTGGGGATAGATAGCTCACATAGATTCATGATATCACTAATAGGACAGACAGTGTATGACATGACAGAGTTTCAAATAGCCAATAGTTTCAAATACCCAATAGGACATCAATATAAATATTTGTCAGTTTTACTGGTGTTGAAGCATTCCAGGAATCTCAGCAATCTTGTAAAAAATTCAAGGAATTGTGTAGTGTGTAAATATCAGAGAATCAGGTTAAAATATATTAAAGTAGTTGTTCTGAAACCTAGATTACACTCCAAGTGAAAAAAAAAACAAACTGGTATAAAAAACTTGAAGCCCCGTGCTGCTCTGCTCTAGCAAAAAAAAAAAAAAAGATTGACAAAATTAAAGGAGTGTCCCCCTGCACTACACTGATTCGAACATAACCACACTGATTCATTTTCCCTTACAGAATACTTAAATAAAACAAAATGATATAAACCTGATGAAACCTCAAACCTCTGTTCAGCAAAGGAACCCTACTGAAGCTATTATTGTCTGAGATGAAACCAAATGATATAAACCTGACATGAAACCATGTTCGGCAATATGTTTAGCAAGCAACCCTACTGAAGTTATTTTTGGATTTCATTCAGCCAAGCAGAGCTTATCCGAACCAACCTGGGAACGAAGCGAGGATTAGGAAACTGCGAATTCAACAACCACTGTCAGCTCAAAACTATGATGATTTAGTGAAAGCCAAAAGGTTGTAGTTTTTCTCTAACAATATGGTGATGCCTTTGTGATAAATGATTAGGATCTGACCACAATATTCTGACATTGCAATGCATGTAGTCCACAAATTTGGTCTATTCAGAAAGAGTCACCGCACACAGCCTATATTGCAGGTGCTGGAGATGAAGCCTCTGCGCTAGAACTAAAATACCGAGACACGTATTGCTAGAATACATACATCAGCACCTAGTGGAATTTTCCAAACGTGTATTGAACTAAAAAAAATGCATGTATCACAATTCTGAAAGCCTAGAGATACCTAAATCATCGTCTAATCAAACTTGACCTGTGTTATCAGTAAAGTGTAAAGACAGAACAAAGAGGATCGGAGTTCCTCCATTAGCTAGTACACCAAAGATAACTTACATATCATAACCTCCATTTCCTGAATACCTGTCCTTGGAAAGTTCTTTAACAAAACCTGGAAACAAATGCCAAAATGTGAGCACCTGCTGATGCAAAAAAATACCAATCCATACCTTACAATGCCATGTGAGGAATGGACAACCAGAATGGTCTTGCGTGCATACGGCAAGAAAATTATGAACTAAATTCCACCTGCTTGGAACATAGCAGCACCAACACAATAATCAGATCTAAATAAATAATCCAAAAAACACATGATATAATCAATGCTATCAGCAAGAAGTAAAAGAACAACAAAAAACAAAGGATGTCAGGCTCCTGTGTTAAGTCCGACACGACAGTCTCTTGCTGTTTTCCCTACAGAAGCATGCAGGCCTGCATACGATTGCTCTTCTGACCTTTCTGTAGCGCCAGCCAAACGTTGTTGAACTACCTAGCCACGATGATACAAATCCTAGAACAGCGCAAAGGGCTAAGACATGGTCCCGCGATCCGTGACCTAGAACTTGAGAAGGGAGCGGAGCATCCATGGCTAGATTGCTACATGGATCGGACGGAGGATTTATTTCAGGAAGCGCACCTGTATTGATCGTTATGTAGTAACATGCAGGTGCAGCAGCGAGATCGCCGCTGTCTCCGCCGCCGTGCCGCTGCCCCAGGAGCAAGATGGAAGCGCACCAAAATTTCGAACGGCACGGCGGAAGCCGGCTGCTTTACCACTGTGTGCGCGACAGCCGCCAACGGGATTCAGCAGGACATACGGCCACGTTTCAAACCGGTGCGCCGACTCGACTCACGTCGCTTGGCGCGTCTGCCCCCTTTGCTTCGCCTCGCTGGCCTCCCCGCGTCTGGCGTGGTGGTCGTGGCCGTGGAGGCTGGCTCGAGGACGATCTCACGTCGGACGACACTGCCGGATCGCGTGGCGTCTCGGCGTCCTCCTTCTCTACCGTCTAGTTCAGGGCGGTGCGGTTGCTGTGCGTCACGCCATAGTGGGGCACCCTCGGCTCGCCGAAGCCGTCGTGCGCGCCATGGACGATGTGCCGTGTGACGGAGGAGCGAGGTCGATGGGCGACCGCGATAGACGGCGGGTGGGCGGGCAAGAGAGAGCGCGATGGGCGAGGTCGAGGACTGTTGTCCCGTGATCGATGGAAGAAAAGAGATAATTGGAAAGGGGAGGTAAAAGGAAATCAACATGATCGATGAAAGGCAAGAGACAATCTGAAAGGGAGGTGAACGAAATCACTGGTAATTTCGGATCATGCAAATCAGGGATCAGTGTAGCCGGGATCGTCGCGCGGGATGGGAGAGACCGCGTGCCGGGTCCATGCATGCGCGGGCGAGCCAAGAAGAGGCAACGCGGATGGCAAGCGTGATATGCGGCGTTTGGGTTTAGGTGGAAAAAATCGCACGGGGAGGCAGGACGATGGACCCACGTTGAAATGTCATACAAAAAATGTTCACGCTTTGTTCTTTTTAGTTGTAGGAGATAGTACATACAGTCCACTCAAATAAATACTATAGTACGTACCACCTTTTGAGATTACCACATTGCCCTGATGATTTAATGTTATTGCTGACTTATGACGCATGAAGCGATGCACGAGAGGTGCATTGCATGTGATAGTACTCCTATTAATTTCGTAGCAGTTGCAGGTGGAATCAATTCCGACAAGGAACCGCCACCAAACTGTACGGTGCCAGTAGGTAGCACCTGTAGCACCCAAAGACTGACTTGGTGTGGCACTATGGATGTCCAACGGGCCGGCCCGGCCCAGCACGGCACGACAACGGGCCGGCACGGCCCGATGGGGGTCGGGCCAAGAAGGCACGACGTGCCCTGCGGGCCGTGCCGCCATGGGCTTTGTGCCTGGCAGATGGCCCAGGCACTGCCTGCTGGGCCGTTTTTCGTGCCGGGCCGGCCCGAGAAGCATGGCTAATCCAGCGTGGGCCGGCCCAAGGCCCACTACACCGAGTCACCGACAGAGAGAGAGAGCCAGAGAGGGGGAGGCCAGGTAGGCTGCCGTCGTTGCGAAGGCCGTGGACGACGCGACCTCACCTCTCCATCCTCGACCTCTCCGCACCTCGACTTGGCTGGATCCACGGAGGATGAGCGATGAGGAGGCCGGATCCGCGCAGAGGAGGCATAGGGAGGAGCAGCGGCGTGGCGGTGAGGAGGAGGTGGCCACCGTCGGCGGTAGTGCGGGGCGGTGAGGAGGTGGTAGCCACCGTCGGCGCCTCGCCGGGGCCGTGGAGGCGAGTCGGGAGAGTGCGGTGGCCGGCAGGGAGGCGAGTCGTGCGAGAGAGAGAGAGTGGGGCGGGGAGGCGATGTGGCGAGTGAGTCGCGACGCCGACTCGCGACCGCGACCGCAAGCGGTAGGGAGTGCGGCGGCGGGTTGGAGTGGAGGTGGGAGACTGGGAGGTGGCGGCAGGAGGAGAGGAGCCCACGGCGGCGCACCCCGCCGACGAGTCAAGAAGAGAGGGAGGCAGCGAGAGCGGTGAGGAGATGAGGCGAGGGACTGGGCGAGAGCCGAGAGAGAGCAGAGAGTGCGGCGGCGGGGGAGGGAGAGGGTAGGCGGTGGAGTTAGGGTTGGCCTGCTGGGCTGTTTTGGGCCTTTGGCCATTTTATGGGCGGGGAGGGGGCGCGGGGGCGGCAGGCCGGGCCGCTAGCGGGCCGGCTGCTCTGTAGCAGGCCAGGCCGTGCCGTGCCAGCCCACGTGCCTGGGGTAAGGCCCAGGCATGGCCTGCTCCTCCGGGCCGGGCCAGCCCGGGCCCGCTAGCCTCCGTGCCAGGCCGTGCTTGGGCCGGGCCAAAAAAACGGGCCTTGGGCCGGGCCAACGGGCTCGGGCTTCATGGCCAACTATATGTGGCACTAGTTTGACAGCTCACAGCTGTGTGTGAACATACCAGACTTTGTGAGATGTATGTTCATCAGTGCCACCAGCGCCAGCAACTATATTTATGTTGGAAATAAAGACACGCATGATTACAGATAGTTAGAGATGAAAATTAACTAACTCTATAGAAAAGATAGAATCCTAGTCTCCTAGCTAGAGATAGAATAGGATTTCTCTCCTAAATATGCCTACAAATACTCCACCGAGAATCCATGCATGTAATAATTATTATCAGATCAACGACAGATTGATTATTGGGATTTTCCAACATAAACATACCACTCTTATTCACATGATATTAAGAACCATAGACTAGTGTTGTTCGAACCTATCTTTTGCTCGCGTGCCATTCTGGAGAGGTCAATCTTAAAATAAAACTACTTGAAGCCCTGTATGAATTAGTTACCCACCCCGGCCAATGAATCATAATTCATAAATAAGATTAGTTTTTTTTCCAAATCCAAAACCGTACTGTCGGTGTACGTCTACGAGAAGCAGGCGACAGGGACAGGGTCGTCGGCGGTGCTCAAATTAAAAACCAACACAAGAAGCAGGAGACGGCTTGGCTACAACATCGACGACGACCGCCTTGCTTGTGCATGGACGGCACCACGGTCCAAAAGTCGTCTCCAGGACCAAGACATTAATACGAGTTCGATCATCTAAACACAAGAGATTCACCGCTGGTCACTACGATCTGCTACGGGAGTTCCCTCTTCATGCAAGATAATAAATACACAGAGAAACCATGGTGGTTTCTGCATTGGGAGTGCCCTTATCTCGTCATTTAAGCAATTTGCTGATGTGACAAGGTAGTTATTAAGAGAGAGAGAGCAGAAATCGTAGAAACCATTTCTAGATTAGAAACGGTGTCTTCACATGCAACGAAGTCGCTGGAAACCATCCATAACGCATTGGGGAAGGAGGCCATTGTTTCCATCGGCCACCGGCGGCGGGGGATCCCGAGCTCCTGCGTCCTCCTCCCCTACCTTCCGAGCGTGCCACCATCCCTGCCCAGTGTGCTCACGAATCCTCCTCCCCACACATGCTCCGTCCTGTGGCGCATCGAGGACGGCAAGGAAGAGGGCATCGAGGCGCGGTGGCACGCAGTTGCTGGGGTGAACGTCGCCCGCGAGGAAGACCGCGACGACAATGGTGAGAAGGAGTAGTAGGGAATCGGCGTGCAGTGGGACGAGTGCTGGCGGGCCATGTCTAGACTCGTCGCCGTCGTCCTCGGCAGAAGCAGTGGAGCAAGACGACTCTGCCACCTACGTGCGCAACTTCGACGACGAGGCGTGGAAGGCCGAGGAGGCCGTGTCCTTCGCCGGCCCTAGCGGCGCGTTCTTCCCCCACACCAGTGTGGCGGCGCATCCGTGAACACCGCGATGACTACGTTCCGAGCTCCATCCACTAGCTAATATATAATTGTTGCCGTGTTAAGCGGTGGATGGATCATGGATGTATTGCCCAGAATTTTGTATTCGTGTTATTGTTCGATCGATTACGAAATTATCCTAGTCGTGCTTATTCAGGGTGAAAAAATAGCGAATTTTTTCTCTGGATGCAAATGGCAAGTTCAGTACCCTTCATCATCTCATCGACGGAGAAGTAACAGAGTTTGTTTAATCCTCAAATGCAAAGTGATATCGGCCAATGCCGTTCATGTCGACGGGAGGTGAGGAGAGAGGTTGGGGAAAGTTTCTTGGTGGTCATGGATCCCATGGTTACGTGCCACAGCTGATCTTATTTGTTTGTGTTTGTTGTATATTGAATTTGTATCTCCATAGAAACTAATACTAGAAACTATGCATTGGAAAGAGGGCTCTTCGGTTGATGGTTTCTGCGGCTGATAAGCCGGCTGATGTTGTTTTGTTGTGAGAGAAAAATACTATACCATAGCTAATAAGTTCAAGTGAACAGGGCGAGAATGGTTTCTAATTGTGATGTCTTAGAGCTATGGAAACTATGGCTGGTTTCTACATTAGGAGTGCCCTAATATGGAGTCGGCTGCTGCCGCGCGCGTCCGCCAACATGCAGGCCTGTGGAGGCTAGTCAATAACATGGAGCGAGGCAACTCTACAACTGCGCTTGCATGCACGTACATACATGCATTGCTACAAGCAAGCAAAGTAATTAATGGGAAGGCATCACAGACATGTGTCATCCACAGCCCAGGACCCTACATTGCAGCTAGCGTGCCTTGAACACATCTGCTTCATCACCAATTATTCGAGGAGCCAACAATGCGGCAACTCTACAAGTGCGCTTCTTGGAAGCCAAGCTACAGTATTGTACTCTCATGATTGAAGCAGCGGCAGCCGCGGCAGCACTTTCTTAGAAGTGCAGCCGAACGGGCCTAATAGTCTTTATCAACACGCCACCTCCACTTCATCCACTTCAGCTAGCGTGCCTTGAACACATACATCTATAAGGCGCTTCACTGACGACCACATCACAGACGACGGCGACAACCGCTTCAACAACGATGACCGCATCACCGACGATGGCGTCGACCACGCCATTTACGATGGCCACGACTGCATCAATCAACGTCCTCTAATATATATGCAAGACAAGCCTAGAGGGCATCCTCTCCTGACATCTTCAAAATGCCTCTATACGACCGCATCTAGTTTCGTCACATTGCTTTTTTGTCTTGTGCCTTCGGCAACAAGAGGCTACATTCCCCAAGGTACTCACTTTCATATCCAAATCGCCTTCTTACAGATCCTTTGTAAATCTTAATCTCCTAAACATCGATCCTAATACTGAAATTCCTGTGTATTTCTATGACTTCCTGACTTTGGCTTGGCTGGCTTTTCTTTTACCTGATCAGAACTAGTCTCGAGGAGGTGGAGGAACTAGAGGATGAGGATGTGATGGAGATCTCACCGGCTCAGTTCACTCCCAGGAAAAGGAGGGCAGTCAAGGTGAAGGAACAGTTGGATGACAAGTTCCTGAGGCGCAGTAAGAGGAATGGAGTGAAGCTTGATGGCTACAAGAGCCCCCGGAAGGAAGTCCCAGCACCTGTGCCCCTTGCCATGATCCCTGCAACGGCATCTGCTCCAGCTCCTCACCTGACGAAGGAAATCGTGGAGGGGATTGCTACTGGCTTCCTCTAGATACATCCTAGTTATGTGCTGCCCTCCTCAAAAAGGACATCAATGATTATTAGGCCCAGTTAGTATGGTTGTGCATCACTAGCTAGTAGGGTGATGCTTCTTTTGCTGCCTTTGTGCTATGCTTGGACTCGGTGTGTGTTCTGTCTCTGGTCCCAGTTTGCGTCACTACAGGAAACAGGTCCTTTGCCTACAGCCGAAAGCAGTCGGCAAAGGCAGTTTTCCTGTCGGCAAAGGCTTTGCCGACCGTTTCTCCACGTGGCTGTCGGCAAAGATCTGTCGGCAAAGAATTAGTCGGCAATGACTTCTTTGCCGACAGCCACGTGTCAAGCTGTCGGCAAAGCCTTTGCCGACAGCCAGCTGTACAGTCGGCAAACGCTGACGGCGCCGTCAACCCTGACCGAGGCTTTGCCGACAGCCCTGACCTACGGCTGTCGGCAAAGACTTTGCCGACCGCTGCACAGTGGCTGTCGGCAAAGCCTTTGCCGACAGCCGTCGGTCAGGGCTGTCGGCAAAGCTTTGGTCATTTTGCCGACTGCCCTGTAATCCTGTCGGCAAAGCTGGAATCCGTGGTCAGGGAAACCCAGCTTTGCCGACTGTTTCCTGTCGGCAAAGCTGGGAACCAATTTTTTTTTTCAATTTTTTTTCCTCATTTCAGTTGCATTTTAACCACATTTAAGCCACATATTGCATACACATCACATTTGAACACAGTAATTCACAATAATATCACCGAAACAGCGCATTTAACAATAAAATTCAGTTTTCACATGAATCCATACATAAAGGTCCCGAAATACAACGATACATGTCCAAAACGAATCCATACAAGTCCAACATGCACATAACATGTCCAATGTGCCACACGTTCATCGATGAAGGTCCAAAAGCGAGAAGCAAAGATACCTAGCTCTGTGCGTCGTCCCCAGGGGTCCCAGAGCCACCACCGTGCTCATACAGACGCCAACCCGACTGCGAAGACGTACCGTAGTTCCACCTGTTCTGCGGCGCTGTGACGCTTGCCGGCCCGGAGTGCCCCTGCTGCGTCGGGAAAGGCGGCCACGAGGAGTACCCCTGCGACGGTGGAGGGTACATGTACGGCTGCGTGGGGTAGGTCGGGTAAGCTTGGTAGGGTGGAGAAGGACCCAGTGGAGGGCTAGCACCTGGAGTCGGGTTCGAACCTGCCGACTGTGCCTGCACAAAAGCCAATTGATGTAATTAGTACCTGCATGATGGGCGTACCAGCTAAAGCAACAGACAAATATACTCACTGGAAAAGGTACAGGAGCAGGAGCAGGAGCAGACAGTGGAACTTCTGGTGGAGCGAAGAGCGAGGCAGGAGGCTCGTCCGTTCCCGGCATCTGGGACCGGAAGTAGCCGGTCAGGTCTGTCAGCTGGCGCTGGTAGTGCTGCGAAAGTGCCAGCATCTGCTGCTGATGTAGTGCCTCCTGCTGCTGACGTAGTGCCTCCTGCCTCGCTTCCTGGGCCTCTTGGTAGGCCTGCATTTGTGCGATCTGCTCCTGCAATATTACACCCACAAATGTTAAGGCAAGGTAGATCATGTGTGAAACGAGTGAACAACAAATGAAACGGCACTTACCTGAAATTGCGAGAACATCTGTGCGCTGCTCGGCTGCCGAGGCGCTATGGGGATGTCGGAGGAGCTACTGGAACCGCCTCGTCGAATCTCCCTCAGCGTGGGGGCAGACGACGGGTCGATGGCACTGTTGGCCATCATGTAACTGCCGTGCTGCTTCCCTGGGCCCAACCTCATCAGGAGGTCTGTGTCCAGAGGCTCGGTGGCGGGGTCCGACGTCTCCCCATGGCGCTGGCGAAACGCCCTGCGGTACGCGTCGATCTTGGGGTAGACGCTGCTGTTGGTGTACGCGTCCGGCCCGTCCTCCTCGTCGTAGACGTTGTCAGGCGCCGTCGCTCTGCCCTTGTGAGAAAGGGCGTACCCCATCATCTCGTTGCAGTCCTGCCCACCATGCGCCTGGGACTGGGATGAAAACACAAACATGGTTACAGGTAATGACGATTCAGTGTTAGAACTCAAATTTGAATAGAAGCATACCCATTTTTCAATGTACTGCGGGAGAGACCGGTTCCCCTGGTGGTGTGGTGCCCCTTGCATCTGCAAGCGGCGGCGCCGACGTTCTCTATGTTGCTCGTACGACGCGTCCGACCTCCAGATACGCACAATGGCCAGCCAGCAATCCTGGTACTTGTCACACCACTCCGGACACATCTGCAAGACATCAAGTATGTAACATGTAACAAGATGAATTGAATATTTCACGGATTGAATCAAAACGGATGTTTCCTTCTTAATTACCTGCACGTACTGCTCCTCGGTGAGGTCGGTCTCCCTCTGCTGGAACATCTCCCTGACTTGCGGCTTCTTCACCACCTGGCCAAGCACGTTGGCGCAGTAGGTAATGACGCACTGGAGGCGCGCCTCGTGGTACAGGTCCTTCAAACGTAATTTGCACACCGCCTCCTGAACTCGTGCCGCATGCTGCTCTTTCCCCTCCTCGCACGTGAAGAAGTCCTGCACATAGACAACATGTATCAATTGTTTCAATAGCATCCAACAAATGTGTAGTATTGAGAAATACGGTGCAACAACACATTCTCACCCATAACTCCCTCTTGATCTTCGCCGCAAGGGTCTCGCCGTTGGAGATGACGCTGTAGAAGTGCTCCCACTTCATGGGCGGCTTTTCCTCACCATTGTGGGTGACAAAGCCAGGGTAGTACTCCCTAATGAGCAGGCCTTGGATGCCATTGATATGGCGTGAACCGTCGGCGCCGCTCACAAACTTCCAGCTACTGCAAGAGTCATTAACAATTGTTAGTCATTAACATGTCATATGAACAAGTATTGAAATGAATTATGGTTACTTACGCCGCGCCCACGGGCTAATCACCGCCGGGCGACGGGAGCGATCGTGGGTCCGGAGTGAAGCTGGCTCATACCGGTAGGGCTTCCTCGAACCTCGAGAAGCCCCGCCTCCTGATCGTCGTGGCCCCGTCCTCGTCCTCCTCGTCCTCGTCCTCGTCCTCGCCCTCGCCCTCGCCGCCACCGCCGCATTCACCGCCACCGGTCCTCGTGGTCTGGTCGTGGTCGTGGTCGTGGTGACGCCCCCTTCCGTGGTCTCCGAACTGCAGCCTCCTCGACAAGCGACGTGCGGGGGCTCCTCCCCATCTTTGGGCGTGAAATGGCATCCGGCCATGCGTAACTGCTTGTCTTCTCGTGGAGAGGCTTCTGTGCCGACTCCAGCATGGTGTAGAACGCCTTTGCGGTTTCCTCTGGATCATCCTCTACCTCCACTCCTTCGGCAAACCGTCCTTCGTGATAGTCTACCATCATGTCTGCCATCCCGGCATCTGCATCACACTCCTCGAGGAGGGATCTCACCACCTCCTCCCTAATACGATCGCGTTCACCATGGTAGATCCAGCGGGTATAGTTTGGAACGAACCCGTTCTTGTAAAGATCTTTCCACACCTGGCTCTTTTGTTTCTTTTTCTTGTTCTTGCACTTGCTTTTGGACACCGCATCCGACATGACCCTCTAGCAAACAAGGCCAAAAAGCAAGCTCTAGGAAAGCATTGACACCCTCACCCGGTCCACCGCTCTTACTTGCAAAGCCCGTGTACATCCAACGACGGTCACCATCCTCCTCATCATGCGCCAATGTAAGCGAGAAATAAAACCAGCATTTGCATCTACAAAGCGTTCCTGCCATCTAATAGGTGAAGGATAGGTCCTAATCCCACCCGAGGATGCGTAGATAAGGTTAGGTTCCATGTTCTGCTCCCGTCCGAGTCAAAATTTCGGCAGCACCTCCCCGTTGTTCTCCAGATACACGTCCTTTTCGGAGAGTGTGTATCCGAAGAACAACGGGGAGGTGGTGCCGAAACTCCGACTCGGACAGGAGCGGAACATGGAACCTAACCTTATCTACGCATTCTCGGGCTGTCCAAAAAACGTGGACAATCCGAAACAGATACCGTCGCAGATATGCAGTGATCCGCATACCTCGAACCATATCTGTTTCGAACGGGAGACGCCTAACTGGGGTACACGATCGATCTACGGCAATGATACGAGAGAGAGTATGTGTATACCTAGGGTGGCGAAGAGTCGAAGCTAAGCGGGCGATGGCGGTCGTCATTGCGATGGCGGCGACGCGGTGCAAAAACTTCACCGGCTTTTGACTTGAAACAAAGATTGCTCAACCTATCAAAGCATTTATTTAGACGAGTGAATAAAATGAAGTATTGCTAGTAAATTAAGAAGCGGTGATTAGTTATGAGGAGCTCCAATAGAGAGTCGGCCCAAGCCTGAAATCACATGGTAGTGTTTGGGATTACTGCATTCGAACCATGGCACATGCATGTTTAGTTGTCCCTATGGATCAGCTCTCCAAGATCCACTTGTAATATTCATGACATAAAATTAGTATGTCTATATACACCATGAAATATATTTTTCTAGCATATTTATTCATTCATGACGGCTGGTCAAACTTATAAACTCTGGAGCCTAACCATTCTAGCGTGGGTGACCTACCAGGCTCGGCACAGGCTTTCACGGATATAGATAGATAGGTCAAGTATGAACAAGTGGCGATATGATAGAGTATAAGCAACAAATATGAAATGAAAGCAGAGGTCTTGTCGACGTAGAGAATGGCGTCGACTGGGTTCCGAACTTAGACCTTGGGGGCGGTGATTGACTACGGCTTGGTGAGGTCGTCGAGGACAGATCCCGGGCAACCCCGGCTAGTAGAGATGGCACCGGCCATTGCAGCTTTTTGTCATGCCTCTCCCGGCCGGGCCGTGGCTTCTTTGGCTGGCTGGCTGAGCCTCTCTCGGCCAGTTGTGGCCTCTTCTGACCTGCCATGGTCTGGTCATTGTCAGGTGTTTGTCAGGGTCATTGCCGGGTCAACGGTGAGGTGGTGTCGGTGTGCAGCCAGTGGTGGTCATGCTGGCCGGAGCGCACTGCAGGCGGCCGGGGCTGGTCGGAAGAGCCGACGGCGTTCCTGCACGGTGTAGACCTACCCGAGCGGAGCCGAGGGTGGAGAGGGCAGGGTAGGGTGGGAATGGAGTGGCTGCGCGGCCGGTGCATGCCAGGGAGCTGCTGGCATGCAGGGGCAGGGAGCAGGGTCAAGCGAAAGGTGGAGCATGGGGCGGGGATGGCGGCAAGGGCGCGGGGGGCACTGGAGGGCTCTTGGCCCCGGGTGTGGGGTGGCCAGCCGCCGGTCGGGATCTGGCCGGGGGGGTGGCGGCTGGTGGAGGGAGGGGGAGGCGCGAGGCGCGCACGGACGGGAGGGGACTTGGCGCATGCCGGAGGGGCGGCTGCGGGGGCGCGGGTGGGGAGGGCGGCCGAGGGAGGGCCACGGCCGGGGGGGGCCATGGCGCGGGGGAGGGGGCCGGGGAGGGCGCTGCCGGGAGGGTCATGGGCGGCGCAGGCGCAGCTCACAAGGCTGGCAAGCGGCGGGTGGCCGGGGTGGGTCGGCCGGCGGCCGGCATGCCACGGTGTGGGCGGCAAGCGGCCACGGGTGGGAGGGGCGGGGGCGATGGCGGCGGCTGGCCAGCACACATGAGCCTTGGCCATGGGCCGTGGGGTCGGGTGGGCGGGGCAATGGCCAGGCCAGGTGGCGGGCCAAGCAAGGTTCAGTGGGGGGGCGGCCAAAGCGGCGAGGCGGGGCTGGAGGAGGGGCGAGCGGCGTAAGGAGCGAGTAGGCTGGCGCCAGGCGGCCAGTAAGAATGGGCGGTGGCAAGGTGGCAAGTGGTCTTGTGTGGCGAGGATTGGGAGGAAGAGGAGGGGATAAGGCGCTGGTGGGCCGACTTGGGCTTTTTAGGGTTGGCTCTTTGCCGATAGCAGGACAGGGCGGCAGTCGGCAAAGGCAGCTCTTTGCCGACTGCTAGGTCGGCAAGCAGTCGGCAAAGTCTTCTTTGCCGACGGCCGCCACAAGCAGTCGGCAAAGTTTTCTTTTTTTGGTTGTTTTCCTATCTAATATTTTTTGTACGTTCTTCCAACATTAAATACGTCACAAATTCAAAAGTTGGAGAATTTTTTAGTTTTTTTATATATTTCGTGAATTTATTTCATTTTCATGAATTTTTTCGCGTAATTCAATTTTGAATTGTAGGTGCATGAAAAAACGAAACATGGGCATTCGAAAAATGATATTCATGTTGGACAATGTATTTTGAGGCTGTGTGCATAAACTCACCGAAAAGTTTGAAGTCCTTGCCCACAAAATAAGAACATCTCGACGCGGTACAAGTGCTTTTAAATTATATAAAAATCAAACAACGTCGAAAATCACAAAACTTGTGGAACGTGTGTCCTGTTATCACATGTGGAGATCGATAAAAAACACTGAGAAAAAACTTGGAGCAAGTTTGAACTTGAGTGTTCAAATCCCATAGCAGCTTTCTAATGTGTCCTCTTATCACATGTGGAGATCTGCAGGTTTGAACACTTTTT